TATTAATAAAAATTAATTATCGAAATTCACGATTTTGATTGGTTGATCATCTTAGGAATTTATCGGAAGTGATCTGCAGTTTGTGTAACGAGCACGGTCGCTCCTGGAGGTCTACTATCATGGGGGATCTTGTATCCGGCGATTTACGGTATGTGAAAACAGCCATAAAGTGTCGGGAAATTGACTATCGGGGGAAATGGAAAATGAAATTGACCCATCGAAATGTCAGTTTCTGTGTATTGTACATTAGACTACACTGTTCAATCTACAGTTAATAAATTCATAGTTGAAATTAGTTCCTTTGAACCAGACGAGGTCTTGAATTAGATGATCCGTGTTCTCTTATAAAAATAGCCCCTCAAGCTGAGATATAAATTTTTTATAGTGGTGATCAAACATAAAGCTAAAGACATTTTATTCGCTTATTTACAAAAGACGATAAATTTCTATTTACAATAATAAAACTACCGTAATTTTCGGCAAATAGTACCCTTTTGTTAAAGTACCCACCTCACCATCAATTTAAGTTATTTATATACTTAAGCATAATTTTTAAAAAAAATATATACAGTATTTTCTTAAAAATGCATTTAAATAAAGTATAGCCATTTTATTTGTTTTATTGTTTATCTTGTCCATTAACGTTATTAACAAAAACTTCGTGTAACCGTTATCTAAAAAAATCAGTCTATATCTATATCGGATATCGATGGTTTATTTTAAGCCCGGCCCGGCCCACTTTGCATGCTGCAGGATCCAATGCAAACATCTATAGCTGATAGTTAATTATCTGCGTGATACCTGTAATAAATATAATAAATAATAACGATAGATAATAAATAGTGTAACCCTTTTGATGTAATGTTAGAATATAAACGGTTCTTTACGTGTATGACAACACCAATAGGGTAATTTTCTTTTAACGAGATATATGTCAAAAGTTTAGAAGGGGTATCTCTCAGAATTATTACTACGTATATACTCTCTTAACGCCATAATGACGTATTAGCCGTATTACGTAGCAGATTTTTAATAGTAATAATAATTATCAGATCTAAAATCCAATGAGCATACCAGTATGAAACCTAAATCTTATCTACCACCAATACCATGAAGTACAATATAAAAGATCCAGATTTCGAGTAGCACGAACCTGATTTTTTTTTTTTTTTTTTTTATATAAAAATAATTGAATTTTGACTTCGACAAAATACACTTCTATTACTGTTAATATAATGTCGAAAAATAACGACAAAAAAAACCTTTCTACCCATTTTATGGCTGGCGGTGGCGCAGGCCTTACGGAAGCGCTATGCTGTCACCCTTTAGATACTATAAAAGTGAGAATGCAGTTGAGCAAAAAGGTAACGAAAATTTAATCTGAACTTCAATATTCGTTCCGTAAAACATTATGAAAATTTATTAAGCTTTAATAATCTTAGGCTACAAGGTCTGGCTTTTTTGAAGTTGCCATTAATATAATGAGGAAAGAAAAACCATTAGCATTATACAAAGGTCTTGGTGCAGTGGTAACTGGGATAGTACCAAAGATGGCCATTCGTTTCTCGAGTTTTGAATTGTACAAAAGTTGGTTGGCTGATAAAACTACTGGCAAAGTCTCAACAACGGCTACATTCTTTGGTATGTCATTGATTCAAGTTCAATTGGGATCTAATCAATTGTTTATTGATCCATCTGTGATTATCATTGATCTTATCTACATCACAAGACATGATCATATGTTAACTTTGTAATTTATTTTAATTTATTTTTTTTTTACCTATTATGTGTCCATAATACATAGCCGGACTTGGTGCAGGTAGCACGGAGGCTGTCCTTGTTGTAACTCCGATGGATGTGATTAAGATCCGTTTACAAGCGCAACGTCATTCAATGGCTGATCCATTGGATATTCCAAAATATCGTAATGCAGCACACGCTGCGTACACTATCGTAAGAGAAGAAGGAGTTCGAGCGTTGTATAAAGGAGTAATGCTGACTGCACTTAGGCAAGCTACAAATCAAGCTGTTAATTTTACCGTGTATCAAGAAATGAAACAGCATATGAAAAAGTTTCAAGGAACCAAAGATGGTCAAGAACTGCCAACCTATCAGCATTTGTTGATGGGTGGCATTAGTGGAGCTATGGGTATTTAATATCCTTATTATGTGTTTTTTACTATTTATTAATTCATGTCATTAAATATCGTTTCTATTTAATTAGGTCCGATTGCCAATGCGCCTATTGACACTATAAAGACGCGAATTCAGAGATCGGCCAGCACTGAAAGGGGGTGGTCTAAGGTTGTGTCAGTAACAACGAACCTCGTCAAAAACGAAGGATTTTTGGCCTTATATAAAGGATTATTTCCCCGTTTAATGCGCGTAGGTGTAGGTCAGGCTGTTACCTTTGCTGCTTACGAGCGTATCAAAATTTACATGGAGATATTATCTCAGAAAGGATGGTTTGCGAAAATACCGGAATAGTTTTGTGCCACACGATTCCTTTTAATATTTTATTTAATATATTTATAGATAATATTGTACGTATACATACATCTTTAATACTAGCAAAATGATTTTGAATCACTTTTTAATTCCTAGAGTTTACTTATTATTTAGGAAAATAATTAAAAAAAGAATAATAATAATTTAACATTAGAAAATGGCATAGTTTATTAAGCAAACACTCGTTATTTTAACGTATATATGTAATGCATACACATTAAAACATCGCATATGAATTTTATGCAAATAGATAAACAATTTAGTAATAATAAATATCATAGTTCTAAAACTTTGTTAGACATATTATAGCAATCAAGTAATTTTTGTAAACCATTTATATAGATAAAGATCATTACATGAGAAAGACAATTAAAGTTTAATATACAATAATATATATATTTAAAAAATGAAACTCATAAAATTTCAGCACCTGATCTGAAAACAAGACAATGCCAAATGCGGAATTTTGGATCTATATACTTATACTGTATATATTATATTTATATCGATCGATATATGTTTGTGCTTCAGATCAACGCTTGCGTCAGGTGTCGTTTTTGCCTGAGTTAGGGTTAGGCTTAGAGTAAGCGTGTTGAGTTGGGTAGGTGTATTGTTAGACAGATCTGTTAATTCTGGTCAATCATCATATTTTTTGACACCTGACGCAAGTGAGCACAACATATATACATATTACTATATACCATCGTTATACGCATTCAGTTATGTCCAAAGCTGACTGATATGGGCTGGGCGCTATAAAAAGGGATGTAAAAAAATTAACATCTCAACGATTATCTAATTTAGATAATCATTGATAATTAATTTTTTGCAGATATTATTTTTTTGTCAAACACATCCCTTTTTATAGCACCTAGTCTATATATTATGTGCGAATTTAACGTGCCAAGAATAAGGATGGATCAGTTCGTCCTGGTCAGTCCGATCCCAATGAGCCAATCTAATAGCCCGTTTTTCGGTCCAGAAGCAATCTTGCGGTCTCTTCGAAAATTTTCAAAGTTTAATATCTTATTTACTAACAGCTAATTTCCATAATTTTATATTATAAAAAAATATATATATTTCTATAATATACAATTTAAAACATATGAATGTTCTTGCTTACCATCGTATTATTTAAAGTTGTCAAATGACAATAATAACACTTCAGCTAACTCCATCTGGAGAGCAATACCTCAATTATTATTTTACTTGATTCATAGGCATTTCTTGTGCTGCTGCATTTGATATCTGTAATAATAATATTCTGATCCGTTGGATTATTTGTTTAATTAAATTTAGCGTTACGGTTAGGGGAAGTGAATGAAAAAATTGAAAAAATTGGCCAATAATCAATTAGTTTTTATATTTTGTAAATCTTTCTATATAAATGAATTAAATTTTTTGAATTCCAATGATGAATAGCTCCATGCGTCAGTACAGTACCATAATGTTGAAAGATAGCAGGTAGCACATTCAAATGATTTTAAAAGATGCATTGCCCCATTATTTTTAATGCGATCTTTACTAGGATACTTTTAGCAGACTGTTTGAATATCAATAGAAATTAATCTTCGTTGATCATAGAGTAAAACAGAACCTCCTCTTTGTTTTACACCAATTCGAGTGTCAAATTACTTTATATTCCTTGCTCTCCATAAACGCTTTAAGGTATTATTTATAGATTGAGATTTAATATAGTTCATCAAAGATCTTATTTTTTTCAATCGATGCATCGACTAATTCGATTCTCTTAATAACTTCTAGATATAGTACATATGAATATATAGTGAAATTCTGAATTATTAAAAAATTCTCTAGTCTTGCAGTTATTGAAGAACACAAGATCATCGAAGAAATTATCAATCGCTAATGTTAGAAGTTTCGCAATCAAGTAATTTTGTAAAGGGCTGACATCATACTGGATCCATTGCGTCGTGTTGTTATTGGAATTATGTCAAGAAGAATTCTGCAATACTAAAGAAGCGCCGATATCGTGGTGAGAAAAATATTTTCTATGCTATTCATATAGCGACCATATAAGCAATCTTCCTGGAATTTACTTACCCACCTTTTTTTCTTTTATACTAATTAAAGCACTTCGATTACAATACCTATATCTCGAATCAGATTTAGGATTGTTTACTCTCTATAATATTATTTAGTTAATTTTTATTAAAAATTATATTAATGTTATATTACAGGACCGCCATCGTTCGTGAGCCTAAGGGTGAGGTTCAATCGGAATTCTGGTGGCTCTCTTTATGAAATTTACAGACGAGGCAGTAAAATCAGCCAGGACATCTAGATTTCCTATTGTTGAATGATTCTAGATCGCAAATTATTTATTTAAGAGCAGATTCATCTCATTCTTGTAGTTCATATTCAGTATTAGGTTCATTATTTACTATTATAAGTATATATGTTTATTCTAGTATTTGCAATTATTCCACGTAGGTATATTTATTGTATTTATGACAAATAGAGTGGTCAGGGTAAATAGAATGATCTGGATCATTAATTACCACATCGTTGGTTTATTTTGTGGATTGAGGTTTGACACTTTATTATAAGAAATGAGACTTCGACATTATTTCATTAGGAATTAGGACTCAATATTTATTCCATTAATTAGAAAACTATTTATTCTAACATTGTTATGTGCCCAACACTTAAGACATATTGGAAACAAATAAAGAAATATTTGTCACCGCTCATTACTGCAAAGAGATATGAAAAAAGTTTATTATTTTGCATTTTATTTCTTTTTTTATTAGTTTATCAATTTTTTATCATAAGGATCATAATCTAAACTGGGACCGGACGATTATGGACTAAGGACAGGATCATTTGCCTTTGGTTCGTTACCGTCCGGCCCCGGTATTTTCAAAGACTGATCCATCCCTAGTCAAGAAGCATAACTAAACATATATAATTAAATGTAATTGATTAATAAAGTTTCTAGTTATTTTAGCGTGTCATTACTAATACTTTAAAAAATAATCAAACCGTTTAGTCCATTCTTTGGCGACTTTGTCGTGTTCTTCGCGATTATGCAAATATTGGTGTGCAATACTTCCGACCAAAGGATCATCTATGGATGTTTAAATTTTTAGATTCGTAATTATTGTAAATTATAACATGTAATTAAATAAAAAATTGTGCTCACGTGGATTGGCATCAGTCAACAGCGAGCATATCGACAACAAGACTTTGGAAATCGTCAAGGCAGGAGACCAATTGTCCTTAAGAATATCAAGGCAAATTTGTCCGGAGGAATTGATGTTACAATGGTAAATACGCGTACGATAAACAACCTAGTTACCGGATATCAGATATAACCTCAATACAATAAAAACTCATAGTTTTGAACGATCACTTTAACTATTCCAAATAATAACAGAACAAAAGTTTCACCTTTGGAGGCTTGAACGGGTAATCTTGTGGAAAAGTAATGTCCAAGAAGAAAACACCACCGTCGTATGGAGAACCTGTAGGTCCTGTAATAGTAGATGCCCATTCGTACAAGTTATCGCCTTTTGGCCCAGCACTAAAAATATTAACGTGAACAAATTAATGATCTATGTGAATAAAATACAACTTAAAGTAGAACTATGATTGCAAATGTTGGTAATCTTTAATCAAAGTTGATTAGTGTAGCGAACCTGCAATTGCAAGGGGGATCGAGACTAATTTCAGCAAGTTCTTTCTGAATCCTGGTAATGAGTGCAAGAGTTTACCAAAAAAATATAGCATCAATACGAGTTTATTGATCAATAAGCATAACGCATTAATGCAAATCATTTAAAACAACGTGTTTGAGAAAAAGAAAAAAAAAACAATGTTGGTGTAAAGATTTTATAAGTTTAAAATCAGAATCTATTTACCTCTTTGCGCTGCTACTGGTTGTATTAGCAGTCTTGACAGCAGAATGCTTACCACTAGAAGAGGATGAGCTGGCAGCAGTAGTAATGGTAGAACGAGAGCTAGAGCCGCGTCTGCTAGAAGTGTTCATGTTTTAATAATATTTTTCACGTAAAAGAAGCAAGCAGTAGTTTGTAGATTAAGGTATTTTAAGTTTGTAGATAAGAAAATCTTGTGATGGATCGATAAATCACTGGAAGTTCACTGTGACTGGAAATGTCTTTGTTGTAAATGAGGGCAGTTTAAATCTGAACAGTTCTTTAAGAGCCAAACAACTGACAGCATGCAACATTCCCATTTTATACAATCCCCGCGTAATTACCATACTCTTTGGTACTATATCTGATCAAGTTTGTTAGCATGAGGTAGGAGTTTGAAAAATTAAAAAGGATGCTAATCTTGTATTCACAGGTTCAAATATGAAATCCAGGTATTTGAATACTGATTTCTGGATTAAATAACATGATAAAATACGCGAAATAGAACCGGTTCTTGGAATTTTTCTTTCCGAGATATAATATCCAATTTCCTGGGATGTGAGTGTAGTTATCATGTGATTGCTAAAGATTATACTATTTTTTGTAAAAAGTATTATTGCCATAATGTATTGTAAAATATGCTGTTTTAATTAGTGTTATTAGCAGTAAAACAATAAAGCAATATAATATATATATATTATATATATTTTAAAAAAATATTTAATATAGCAAATAGTTAATGTTGTAAAAAAATCAATGTAATTTTAATTTTAATAAATTATATATGTAATTAAATTTTTTTTACTTACGTACGTACGTACAGTATAATTTTTTTAAATAACAATACGAATTTATTATATTGTACGTATTGTAATGATTTAATTTTATTAATAAATTTTAAAATTAAAAATTTTATCTATATATTATCAGTTATATATTAAAATTAATTAAAAATATACTATAATAAATTTAGAAAATTGCTAATTTTAACTATAGTGCGCGACATGCAAAGGCTTTACAAATTTTAAAAGCTAATAATATTTAATACAAAAACAATATTATAAAAATAGATTATTACAAAAAATAAATATTTAAAATATATATTTTTTATATAAATTTATATATATATAGTTTAGCTCTAGTTTATAATAGTGCTATCTCTTAATATGTAAATCAATGCAGGTAAATTTACCTATGTTTTTGCACTTTTTTAGCTCTGATCTACTTTTTTAAAATGCCAAAATATTTAAATAAAACTTTATACAATTATATATATTAAAAATAAAAATTACTTTTATGCAAAATTAGTTTTTATAATATAAGAAAAAAAGTTTAGATTTCTTATAATCTAAAAAATAGATAAGTTTAGAAAAAAATTTTAATCAAAAAAATTATTTACAAATTTTTGAATATATAGTTCTTAAAACAATATTATATAGTTAATACAAAGAATAGCAACTTTTATTATTATACTTTTAGTGATTTACTAATAAAAATCATGATTTTATTTAAAAGTAAAGATTTTTTTATAGACAAAAAACATATAAAATTTAAAAAAATTCTATAGTAAAAATTTTAATACAAGAACTTTAAACTTTTATTATATTAAAGTTTTTTAATAAAGTTAAATTTAAAGTTTATAACTTTTTCTAATAATTACTTGTACTAGATTTTTTTACCAAACAAAAAACAAAAATTTTGTTAAAAATAGAAGAAGACATTATAGAGTGGTTCTTGTAAAGATCAATTAGCACTACAGAGACTTCTTTAATATATTTGATATGCAAACTAAAAGCATTAGAATACAAGATAGCTGGCAGAAAATAGTGTACTTGTATATAAAATTTTGAGAAACTGAGTACTCTAATAGAAGTAAAGCCTTTTCATTAATGAAGTTAACTATAGACAAGAGAAGTAAGAAACAACAAATAAGTTTTTTAAATTACTCTTTTGAAAATTTAAAAGTACTTGATTTCATAATTATCACTACTACATTTTTGCTATACTTTCATTAGAAAAAATTTTTTAGTGCTGTTCTGTACAGATTTGCAAAAAAATTAAATAATATATTAAATGAAAATCTGTGCAAAACTTCAGACTCACCAACTATAGCTATAGAAATTAAATACAGTTCTGTGCAAAATTTCAAAATATAGGAAATTTTGCAGTTTTTTTGCATTTTTGCAGGTTTTTTCAGATTTGCACTTATTTAATTCTTCTGATGTTGGTATTTATTTTGAAATTTTTTCTAAAAAGTAGGAAATCCAGTATACTCTTACAAAAGATCAATATTGTTTATATATCTAAAATGGAAACAGCTTGTCACAAGAAAGCTATATTCTACACACCTGGCCTATAGTAAATGATATATGTAGATTTGTAAACTAAACAAAAACTTGAACATTCTCTATTTAGAAATTAAATATATTATAATACAGAAATAAAGTTAAAGTAGAGATTTCTTTATAGAGTATTATATAATTTTTAAAGCCCCATACTAGCACAAATAGTATTTTTATATTTTTTGTTTTTTCTTTGCCCTTCTCTTTTTTTTATCTTTTTTTATTTTTCTTTTGTTTGTATTTAGTTTTTATTTAAATTTAATAAGAAAAATATGTAGCAACAAGATCAACATATATACTTGTATAATAGGAGATTTTAATGCAGTAAGTAATACAAACATAAACACAAACAACTATAATTATAAAAATCAAGAATTAGACAAAACTTTAATAGAGTAGCTTAGAAATAGAGATTTTATAGATTTATTCTATTATATAAATTTCTACAAAAAAGAATATACTTGGCAGAAAAACAATATAGCTTCAAGAATAGATTATATATAGCTAGGAGAAGTTTTTTAAAATCTTATTACAAAGGCTAATATCTGTGATTTAAATATCTTAACAAGAAGTAATTATAAACTCATTTGAGCAAAAATAGAAATAGATACAATATTGTATTATGGTAAATTTCAGAGAAGAGAAAAAAGCAAATCAACAAGAAGAGTTTTCTTATATTACAAAGCAACAGAAGAAAATTGGAAGTTTTATAGCAAGTGTGTAAATGCTTATTTAAGAAACAAAGAAATTTCCAATATTGATAAAAGTGCCCAAAATGGCGAACCAAAGCTTAATGAAAAGTGAAAAATCATAAATAGTATAATATTTTTTTTTTTTTTTTTATATTGCCAACATAGAAACTTTATTAGTCATAATTAACACTTTTTACAAAGCGATTGATATACAGTTTCTAATTACATTTGTGCTACTATTACTAGTTACCCAATGTGGCATTATACTCCTTATTTTCTCTATATTACTTTTCTATTAACTATTTCAAACCAACTTCAAACTAGGGTCAATTGGAGCAACCTACCATTACATATCCTACTCATGTAATTATTTTCTATAATTTTCTTCCCAATTAGTACATATTAACTGCTGCTATTGTGTTTGTATCTCACGCCACCTTTTGGGGTGTAGCCATAACACAATCTGTATTTCAATTTCAATCTTCCTAATTAGTTCTCAATTACATACTATTATACAAGATTTTCTATTATTACCTATTTTTGTATTATTATACTTCCCTATTTACTTCCTGAGTCATTTTGTATTTATATAAACACAAAATGACTTAGATTAGACTATTATAGTCTCAGGTATGACAAGCATTTTGCATTTGCGTCGTCATTCGAGTGACGAACGATTTGCACTTGCGTTGTCAGAGATATATTAGTATTCGCTCCATCATTTGAGTGACGAACGATTCACGCTTGCGTCGTCATTCGAGTGACAAACAACTTGCGCTTGCGTTGTCAGAGATATATTAGTATTCGCTCCATCATTTGAGTAACGAACGATTCATGCTTGCGTCATCATTCGAGTAACGAATGATTTGCGCTTGCGTCATCAAAGATATATTAGTATTCGCTCCATCATTCGAGTGACGAACAATTCGTGCTTGCATCGTTAGATATATTAGTATTCGCTTCATCATTCGAGTGATTAACGATTCGCGCTTGCGTCATCAGATATATTAGTATTCGCACCATCATTCGAGTGATGAACGATTGACGCTTGCATCATCATTCGAGTAACGAACGATTCGCGCTTGTTAGATGATACATACATCATAAATGTTATTGGGGAATGCTATCAAATTTACGTTGCATAATTACTATCAATTAATGCTATCTAATTGCAATCGAGTATGCTATATACATGCTATCTGGTCACGCTATCTGGTTATGCTATCAGGTTATGCTATCAAAAAATATTATTGAGTTATGTTATCAATTTACTTTGCCTATAGTTAATACTGGATTGTTAGCAGTTGTTAGCTTCACATAATTCATTCGAATATCGCTCGATAATGAGACACATAGTGTCAAACTGTTAGCAATTGTTAGCTTCATATAATGCATTCGAATATCAGTTAAGGATGAGGCACATAGTGCCAAACTGTTAACAGTTGTTAGCTTTACATAATTCATTCAAATATTACTTGAGAATGAGGCACGTAGTGCCAAATTGCTATTCTCACTTAGTAATACTCAAAGCATTGTAATAAGTATATCTGTTTTCCGTTTTTATTTGACATAAGGATGGGATATTGGATATAGAGATGGTATAGTATAATGGATATGGATATAAAAAAAATCTTAATGCGGTTGGGACAGCAAGGTTACAGCAATTTTATTACTTTTGACTTGTTTGAACTACTTCCCAGATAATGAAAAAAATATGTAACCTTGCTGTCCTAAAAATTAAGCGTAATATAATTTTATGTTCTAGAATTCTTTCTTGTATAGCCAGTGCTGTTCCAACATATGTTACTAAATATATAATTAATATGTAACCTTGCTAACCCAAAAA